AACAAAAATAGCGTAACAGCGGACCACACATCGGTCAACATTCTCCCACACTTTACTGCTTCCACATTCCGTGGGCTCCTAGAGACCGGAAAACTAATCTGCTTGCATATACATGATCATGGTCATTTCAATAAGCTAACCAAATTGAAAAACCCGCCGTTTCTAAGCCATAAGTTAGCATCGGTGTCAAGGAGATGGTTGCACACTGGAATGACGAACCCTGAAGTTTTGTTACTAGGCTCATCTGGAACCATAGACCCAGAAAAGAAAGTAGTGTACTTCTGGATTGCCGAACCTACTTATAGTGCAAGACCATGGGGGATACTAACTCCCAGTTCTCTGATTCTACTTGATGATGCCTGCAGTTAAAAGGCAGAAACACGCCTTATTGCCTTGGCTTATCCACCCCCATAAGTCTACACCCGACACTAACTGTTACCTTGAGGCTGCTTTAAGATGCGCTCTACAAGGAAGATGCACTCACATATTTATCATGGGTGACTTCAACGTATATTGTTTAGAAACCTCTGTCGCGGTTACAGAGCAATCCAAGCCGATCTGCAGAAGCGCCTCACCACTGTTCCGCTTTACAAGCCCGTCACGTTGCCCACACTGTTCAGAACAGGTAACAGACAATCGGTGCTGAATCTTGTGTTTACCAACGAGGAATATATGATTGATGTGTGGGTTGTGGACTGCCCGTTGGGTCACAGTGATCATGCCGTCATCAGTTTCAACTTCGTCTGCTATACGAAATATTGTCATGAGAATTGGGAGACTATGCGAAACATCACGAGTTACGAGCGAATTGCCCAGTTCCTCAATGATACAACCTGGTCGTTCCTTGCCCTAGAACCACAGGAAGTCGCCTGGTTCTAGTTCATCAATAAATTCAGTCGGCTGATTACAGCTGCTGCTGAGACAAAAGTTTGAAACGAGTCTAAATCAATTTCTTCCGTTAGGATCAGAACTCGAACATGAATGACAGTACGCAACGAAGCATAGCAGGTGCACAGAACAACTCCAACGCCAGAAAGTTGGAGATAACTAGTAGCCCAACATAGCCACTGCACACATTTGCTTGGTTATGATAAGGCCGCATATCAGCAGAGCATTGCGAAAACCATCAGTGTTAACCACAATCTGCTGTGCACACATGGTGTTGTGTCTGGATACAAGGAACTGAGAGCTACGTGTACCGGAAGAATATCTGAACACAGAAACATTTCCATCGAATTTACACCTACCCTTGTGGTGCCAGCAGACAACCGTGTTTTGTAGGAATTTGTGGCCTGCTTATCGGGACCGGTTCGGGCTGGTTTCCAGAACAACCGCTACTTAGCTCCTCAATAGCGAATTGTTAGGGTCCGCCAGAATTTTCTTTGGACGGCTTGGGATTTGCATCAATTTCTGATTCAGAAATGCAGGCAGATGGGCTGTAGACAAAATCTCGCTGATTTTATGTCCCCTTGGTCAGTAGGGATTTGACTTCGACCGCCTGCAGACGTGTTGTTGCGTAACTTCGCCAACTTTCAAACACCTTTCGACCAGTTGGTTGGAATGGAGTATGACCTTCAGCACTCTGGGACCACGTTCTTTATAGTTCGGTGAGATGGATAGTTTTGATGTTGAGTCGCCAAACACATCACAGATATGAAAAGACAAACGCCTCCGTTGATTGAAAATTATAGTGTTGCTCACCCCAACACTGGCACTACAAGACCGCGGTTTCGTCCTGTTGGGACTCCTCAGCTGGAGATAGCCTGAGTTGGGCTGGAACTCAGAGCCTAGTGGCTCATGGTTGACGCCAGAAGCGCTATGCCACTGAGATCCAAATTCAACCTTGCCTCCGTTGATTGTTCGTTTATTACACATGATGACCGGATAATAATTGCCCCAGATCCGATACAACAAATTAGTGGGTGGGGACTGGGTTCGCACATTTCGCAAGTCAGACATCGCCTCTTGCATGTGCGCAAAAGTGGCTAATCTTCATCAAAGTCTGACCAACATTACACAGTAATCCACTCGATGCAGTTCAAGACAATAATACTGGGGATACCGATTCTCAATGAGACTGATTCTCATTTGTTCATTTGCTCCTCGAGTTTGGCAGTTTGGTTGCAGACTTTTCAGCACCATGTGAGGTGGCATCGCCAGTGTAGTTATATGCAAGTGCAAAATTACACCCTCGCATGATGGTGACACCATTGCAACCAATCTGCCAAGCTCGGCGAACCAATGAACCACTGAATCGTCAAACCAAGCTGACAGTATCCTGAAACATTTTAAGACAATTTCACAATCTGAGTGCTGTTTGAACGCATGCAATATAGCCGAGCTGGTCGAGAGAAATCCCTGCTTCTATGCATCTAGCGGACCAAACATTGGGAGATACAGCCTATCTGCAGAAATGACGTTGACTCAGGATAGCAATGATTCTCTCTATTGCCAAGCCCGACGTTGTTCATGTACGAATTGGCCTGTCCTGATTCGCGGGCCAGCAGGACACCTGCACATACTAACAGATAAGAAATGCTGTATAATTCACATCCCTCTTACACAGTCCCTTGCATGTTCGGTCGATCGATGATAGGGCACAGACAAATAGCAAAGATCCGTGCATTTTACAGCGCACGGTAAACACCTATATGCACAGTGCTTGTCAATTGCCCAAATAGGTTCAAGAATAGTGAGCAACTTTACGCCCGCAACCCTTTCAATTACAGTGAACTGCATCAAATGAACTTCACAAGGCCAAAGTAAAGAAAAGCAGTTGGATGCGCCTCGAAAAACAAACGTTTATCGAGACTCTCAATTATTCGGCTACGCATGATTATTTATGTGCTCGGGTACGTGGAGACCGCATGCGGTTTTCTGACGGATACGAACAAATGTCGGTAAGTACTGGCATGCCCCACGGACATCCAATCTTACTGGATGTAACAGTCGAAGTGAAGACTCAAAGTCCGGGTTACATGAACCACCCAACAATTGCAACTTGGGCTACGCATTCTGTGCACGTACGCACAATAAGTTGCTCAGCCCCCATGCAGCAATGTCATCCATAAGCATCTTCGCTAAAAGCAAGTTATGTGAACATTCGTCGGTTAGACTTAAGCAGACAGCCATCACTCATCCAGGAAAGAGCTAGACGTCTGTTTTGCTCTATTAGGACTCGTCGGTAGCGCACACCCACCGAATCCTGCCGGATTCGAGCACATCACCTTACACTTGCAAGCCAGCGAATTATTCCACTTAGACATGAGCGACGGCGGTGGACAACCATGACTGATTGCTAATTGCGCTGATCATCGTCCACTGTCTTGCATGTCATGAAGGTGCAGAGGACATAGCTGGCCCCCCGTGCAGCGACTTCTTTCCAAGTAGCCACTAATGCAGGTGGCATGTAATCTGATAACGCGGCTTCGGATTAGTTGGAATTAGCAACCTCACCACTACTTGCAACTCATCAGTAGCCGTCTTATCAGCTTACATGCCACCTGGATTAGTGGCGACTTGGAAAGGAAGTGGTTGATCCGAAGGCCAGCCTTGTCCTCTGCGCGTTCATAAGATTCATGTTATCCGTCGGAGTCTAGTTGCGAAGAATCTTCATATCAACCTAATAAATCCTCCAACTACTTACAAATATCTCTCTTTACACAGTGCGTTCAAACTTTGGCTGCCATTGTCCACCAGTCGAATGCATGAAATCCTCCATTATTTGGCGGTTTTCCGCACGTGATGCTTAGCAAATGCTGGCAATTTAAATTGCTAATAAGCTGTGGAATCTACTCCAACTGAAACTCCATTTGGATTATGACATAGGACTTCCAGCACAGGACCCACCTCTCGAAATCTCATAATTTTTCACCTTGTATCCAGCCTATGCGTTTGTCGGTACGGAACACAGTTGGTTGCTGGAAAGGTATTTTTAATTTTGAAACACAGTTGATGGATATTCCATCCTGCCCCATTAACTCCAAATCATTACTGAGGAGTTGCTTTCAATTATTCCACGCAAAAGCGAATGGATGTAGAATTGTGTTAAACAGACTTCAAAGAACTTCCTCAATATGGACACCTGCGCAGCGCCATTATTATTTATCAGCATAGTATCAAGCCAAATGATAAATATCATTGGCGATATTCTAAGCGTAACCCATCAAAATGTGACCCACTCATAGAAAATGCTGCGGTGAGCCCAGGATGCCTTTCCAGCCGTGTCCCGTGCAAATTGAAAACAAATGTGATTAGTTAATATATTTATGCAATGTTTTCCAATCAAACAACTCAAGGTTTTGCAATGGAGGATGAATTTGATGCAGGCAGTTTTAGACATCATTCGCTTCCATCGTTTTATCCGATGCACATTTGCCATCATTGGACTATTCAATGAAGAGAGAGGAAAGAGAAATGTGAGGACTGCAGGCAGGTTAAATCAACCGGAACGAAAGAGGCTTGCGGACGACTTTTGACACGATCGTTTAAAAGTCTTCAATGCATGTTGGGGCAGATTGTGAAAGACAATCTTTACTTGGACCAACGCTAATCCCGAGGAAATCTTAGGGTTATTTGAGTTTCAATGTCGCCAGCTAAACACTGTGGATATACCGGAAACTCAGCGATAAACGCGTGTGCTAGCGACCGATTTGAACTTTTTCAATATTCACTGCAGCTGCGCTAGCAAAAGTGCTCTGATAATCCGCAAGCGCTTGGCTTGTAGGAGGGATTTGGACCTTTACACCTTTTCCTGGGATTCGATCTCATTCGTGCAGCGATGATTAATGGTCATCTTCAGAAGTATTCTTCTCCGGTGCTGCATATGGGTCAAACTTCCACTGGGAAACTGCTTGACTACTGACTGACACCACATCCAGCTCAGCAAGTTTAGCACTAGGTAGGTTAGTTAGGCAGTTTTAACCAAAGTCAGATCAATTCTCTTCTCCTAATAATGACCGTATATACACGGTGAGGTTAGTGGGGTCAAATTCCAGTCAATGCGACATCATCAACCTACAGATTACGTGCCTATGCAGTTTTCAGGTGGTAAGTGGTCTGTACGAGTCATTGCGTTCTACAAACGAATGTACTTAAGCATTGACACGTATCGCAGTATGTGATCAACTATCAGTTCAGTTTATAGCTTGTGGTCATTGGTTTAGAAATTGCGTGGTTTATTCCCAAAGCCTAACTGTTATAATTGAGGGAACGCCGCCTCTGTTCTGGAGTGCGTAACGCCTGATAAGAATGTCGCTGGCACGGTTGCACCACGCCTACGATAAAAGCCTGGAACGCTGACCAATCGAACGGACTAGCGTTGACCTGATGGCGTTAGCTAAGCCGAGGTACGCGCTGATGAGACGGAAATTGAGCGAGCGTGTGAACGATCCTAGCCGCACGTATTCGGGTAGACGCTGAGCCCTCGGAACGGACGTACACGAGAAGGGTTCGGTAGACGTGCACTAGTGACTAAGACGCGAAGGCTGCCAAGCTAACGAGGCACACAAAAGCACGTGACCCGACCGACTCCCAAGTATGACGAAGTGGGAAGAAAGACAGGCGGTCTTCTGTAAGCTCTTTTACGACCAACAAAGGACGAATTAAATTCAATGCTATGAGTCATTAATTTAGGGAAAATTGCTACCACGACGAGATGGTAGTTTCTAAAAGACCATTGTCAAAAGGTGCGCAGTTGCGCGGCGTCTCGAAGTGTCTTAACTCTGCTACGTTGTGAGGAGGAATTGAACTTCGCTTTCCAAAGCCGTTCTTCCGGGGTTTCTGGTGCGTTTATGCGGGAATATTTGACGGGCCCGCAACACTAACAAACGCTACGCACTGTTACAATGTTCCCGTGGCGGAGCTGTGCGCTATCGAGCTTGTCCCCAGGTTACGCATTTGGGAACGCAATTCTTGTGAAGGTTACGGCGAATCAGTCTCGACTAATTTGTAGGCTTGATGAATAAGCAGTCACGGACAATCAGCGGTAGCGTCTCAGAGTCTGTGGAGTTCTGTGCTGGTCCCAGGTTTCTGCATCGAGTGCCATAGGAGTTCGTACCGAGATGTGTCGAAGCGAATGTGACCAGCTATAGGGTCACTGACCACTCACTTCTGGTCACATGGTGGATGAACAACAGTGTTGGTCACCGGCTTCTGTGTGGAACCCTACAGAACACAAATAAGGCGAAAGAGCCACTTGACTGTCAACTGTTTTCGTATTCAGCAATTTGCGTGAATCGCCCTGATGCCTTGATGATCAGGTGTTTATGGCCAAAGGCTCGGGGGGCCATCCCTAAAGTCTACTCCCTCCCTCGGCCTGGACAACCAGGAAGCGGTCTGCTCACAGACCACATTAACCCAACTAAACCTCCCACTGATTTCCAGTTTTCCCCTTTTTGTTGGATCCCATGTGTTATAGCACTCGGCCAATTGTAAATTGGGCAATTATTGAATAATAATAAATAAACCAAGTGCACAGCTGTGTTACATGTCTTGGATGGATGGAATTTTATTCAGCCAACAGGTAGATTGCCCATTTTACACGCAATGTCTAGACAATGGGCCTCATACATAACACGTTTCACGAGGGTCGCTTGTGCGGGCCGAATTAATCACACTTGTCTCTTCAATCACATGGAAAATCATCCGTCAGACAGTATCTTGTACCGAGATTGCATGGTCCGTAACAATTTCACCAGCTGAAGTAAATGTTCCCGAGGTAGCTTTCACTAGAAATATTAATACAAGACCTCCGCATGACTTAATTCCGAACAACTTTCTCTGCCTCGCGCTTATATAGTATCATAAATTAGTGCGGCCGAGATGGCAAGTTGACCAAACCGTACACAAATTCACACGTGTCATTGTGTCCTCTGGCCCGGCTCACTACCACAGCAAAGCCGAGGTCACAAGCGCATCCCACTGCACACACACACACATACACACACACACACACACACACACACACACACAAGATTGGGCAGTTTTTGTTTGCCTATGATTCAGTGTACCGTAAAGTCTGAAGTTAATTGAAGTGGAGATAATAGGGAACCTACACGCATGGTCCACACAATGTTTCTCAGCCAGTAAGTGGTTGGTGATTAATAAGGTTGGCATTTTGCAGAAAAATTCAATTTTCATCCTCGGCTGTGCATTCGGAACGGGGGACTGTTAGCTGCGAAACGCGTTTTCTTACCCGTGCCTGTATGTAATCCGCGATCCACGTCCGCAGTTATCAGTCAGACCACTCAACTACACCTAACGTCGTACAGAATGCGTGAACTGCTAAACAACAATAGGGGGGATTTAACCAAAGGAGTAGAATACGAATCGTTGAGTGGAATAGTGCTTGCTCCACCACAGGACGTATGCGTGACATTGTGAGTAACAAACGGCGCTGAAATATTTAGCATCCATTGTGTCCCTCTGGCGACAGCTGAAGGGTTAGTTTCAACTTCCGTACCACGAGTGTTCTTTCTTCCACTTTCTGCGTACTAGGAAGCATGACGTAGGAAGCTGGATACCCATTTCTTAGAAGGTGCTGGTTAACGGCCGTACCTCTAGTTCCAGTGTGTCAACAGGGCCTTGTTCCTGGTCCTGTCCAACAAAGTCTGCACTAAGCTTTGCTTGCACCGTTTAGGAACAATGCTGTAGAAGGTCAGGCACTGTCTCTTTCATATTGCCTTGCGAATACTGGACCTTCATACTGTATGCCCGCTTCTGAATGCTGTTAGAACGTCAAAGTACATTAAGGTGTCAGGATGATTAGGTTAGGTTACAAAGAATGGAGCAATGTGGTGTGAGCGACACATATGCTTAGGAACGTTCGACGGAAAAGCGCAGTCACCAAAAACTAAAGAATAAAGATAAGAACTGTCGCGCGTCAAAAAGTAGGGGTCAAAATGTCGAAAACTGGTGATCAGCCACCGGAAGAAGTAAAAAATCAAAATCACTCTGACAAAGATGCTAGATAAGAACAGAAATGCCAACAAATGCTCGATCATCACAGCGAAAGGCTAGTTCCAGTGCCAACCAAAACAAAGCACGCAGCAGAACAATGCAAGGCGAAATAGATTACAGGTAACTTGATAAGATGCCGAGTTTCTAAGTCACCAACAGATCGGTCGATATGGACGATTGTTCGCGACTAACTAGATAAGGTGATTAATGCAGTCGACTGCCTGTCGTGTGCAAAGCGAAATGGACAAATCGATCACATTTTTGGTGGTCAGATTTGGGTGGAAAAGAATGGGGATGACAGCCTCGAATGGACAACAAATTGATTTATCTTTCTTATTGTGGCGAAAGAAACAAGAACTTGACAAGTCCATGGCGTCTGCAGAAAACACTGTGATAAAATGGAAGTGTTTTTTGAATTTACCATAGTGTTCACATTGTGGTATGCGTAAAAAGGCCCACCTCGATTGTGTAGACAAATACTGTTTGGCGCCCCGTTTGTCACCGTATATCATCTTCTGATCTACACGAGACATATTTCAAAAGGTAGATGTGTCAAAGCCATGTTAAGGCGTTTGTAAAGAAAAAAGTATGTGAAGTTGGAGACACGTTATTTGTGAGGGAATTTCACTGTCGTCGCACACAAAGAGGTTTTGATGTAGGTCATTTAGGTTGTTACTCAATTGAGACAGCAGAGCTTCGTTGTCGCAAATGATCAAAATATCATACACCAGCGCCTGGAACCGTAATGTCTGATCAATCTTCTAGTTGACTTGATTCTCGTGATAGCCGACGAACATGTCTGCTTAAAGTCCGTCCGAATTGATTAACTATCGCAAAACCGCCCACTTGGAGGCAGCTTTGTTCTTGAGTATAAAACTTATCATTTGATGTACATAACAAAAGAAGTTCTACGTCTGTGCCCCATGCTGAGGCTGATGTCGCATTCGTAATGCTTATTCACCGCAGTTGAGCTAAACCAACTTACACGTAAACTAGGTCTTCTTATTGTGGATAAAATTCATTACATTTCATTTGGTTCGTTCTGCGTACTTGATAATCTACTCCTAACTTACACACGACAATCAAGCAAACTGTCGTAAACTTGCGTAATTATATCGCGTGGTATTTTTCAAATAACTGTCGGAGATTTTGTACTTTTCACGGATTCAGTTATAAGCAATTTATTCCATGTGCTCATTTTACGAGTATTTATGTCGTCATAGGGGTTTATTTTATTCGGTGTTGGCATTTTTAATGATTGGCTGTTGTTTGACCTCCCAGGTGTGGCTACCCTTGATGTGCATGTTGACAAGGTGTCTACCTGTCTATTACCGACTATCTTATCCATACTTGTTGCAGGAGACAGTTGGTCGTTGCTAGGGAGGACGGGGTGCACGGTTCTTGTGGCCGTGTTAGGCTCGAAGAGTGGTTCCATGCACTCAGCGTGGAGCGGACTACGGTCCAGCCACCGCCTAGTGTACTCTTAATTCTCAAATATATCGGGCTTGTGTTTGCCTGTGAAGGAGTGTGGGTGGGCTCCATTGATGCAACCTGGCTCCCATCCACGTGCCTCCCGGTCTCATTCCTTCTGGTCTACAATGAATATGGGATGAGTGGTTGGAGCTGTAGGTGGTGCAGCGGAAGCCACCCATGTTCACTCTGTAGGCGCAGGGGTCTTGTGGCTGGCCACAGTGACAGACAAATCCGAAACCGGATCCGGCCAACCAGGTTCTGGGTCTGAGAATGGAAGGCGCACTTTTGACTGGTTCTCATGCACGCGGTTACAGATTACCTCGATAATCTCATTTATTGGCACTGCTGCACATCGGGGCAATATCGATAATGGCCATGATGTGCTCACTGACCTCAATATCGTGCGAAAGTTTCACCAAATCGAATGTATCATTCAAGCTGCGTTTAACCATTGATTAATTTACCGGCTCTAATACCGTCACTGACCACTTAGGTAATTTCCGTTGTGAGCAATACCTTGTGGATTGAATTGGCCTCAGCGGGACATCCATGTTGTGCAATTTTGACAACACATGAAGATGGCGTACCTCTTACTCTCAAGGGTTTTGCGATCACAG